CTCTCTGATCTGGAGTCCTACGTACTGGAAAACCTAATCACCATGTCGAAACTCACATTTGCAGTCAATAGCATGGCAAAAGGCAAATGTCCAGGACCAGACGGTTTCCCAGTCGAATTCTATCTGCGTTTTTGGCAACTAATTGCATCTGATCTGTTGAGGGTTTTCAATCAAATTCTCTCTGGGCAATCCTTAGGACCTAGAACAGCTGAAGGTATCATCACCCTTCTCTATAAGAAAGGACAAAAAACAGACATCAGGAACTACCGCCCCATATCTCTCCTTAACGTCCACAGTAAAATTCTGGCCAAAACACTGGCCCGCAGAATAAATCCGCTACTCAACAAACCGGTACACCCAGATCAATCCGGCTTCATCCCTAGTAGGCAGGTACTAGACAACGTAATGACCATATCCCAATCAATTGACTAGATCCAGCATCACAAACTCAACAAAGCAATTATCCTGATAGACTTCCAAGAAGCTTACGACCGAGTGAACACGGACTTCGTCTAAGCTACTCTTGAGAAAGTCGGTATTGGTAATAAATTCAGGAGTTTCGTCAAAGCACTCTACGGCTCCTCAACAGGCAGAGTTATGGTCAACGGTCACCCTTCCCAACCCTTCAAAATCACTAGATCACTTCGTTAGGGCTGTCCACTAGCCCCGTCACTATTCGTAATCCAATTGGAAGTACTTCTGAATATGGTTCGACACCATCCGAACTACAATGACCTCCAAATCTCCCCTACCCACTCAATTAAAGTCTCTGCACTAGCAGACGACTTCTCAGCTATCTCTAAAAACTCACCCACCTCTCTTGCAGCCTGGAGGAATGTCTGAGCACATACGAGCTGGCCTCAGAAATGAGAGTCAGCTGGCAGAAATCTGTAGCCCTCACTCCTGAGGGCAGTGCCGTACCCCCGTTCACCGTTCACGAGGTTTGTGGACGGAGACCGGTCATGGAGTTCACTGCGTTCACAACACGGGAGTTCATGGAGTTCACGGAGAGCGGTATTTTATTTTTTTTATTTTTTGGCTGGGGGGGTATGTTTTTTTTTTATAGGAGGGTGGGGGACATCGAAGGGTAACTCCTTATAATTTTTTTAAATTTTGTTTCTCACGAATAATTTTTTTTTTAATTAAAAAAGAAAAAAAAAATCAACCAGCCAAAATAAGCATTTTCGTTTGTTGTTTTGTAGGTCATTTCGATTTTATTTTTTTTTCAATGTCATCACGCTGTGGGGCTTGAGGCGAATGTACCTGGGGGAGCCAAAAAAA